AGAAAAGTGTGGTGCTTTATATCCATTACATGTATGCATCAGCATTTGTATGCATCAAGATGTGACAGTTCTAATAATGAGAGGTATTATTTTCTGAGTAAAGATCATAATTAATAACTGACATCATTAATAACTTTTCACACCTGTGCACTCAAAGTTAAATGCTTGTTTATGTTTATTTCGTGTTACTGTTACTGATACACTGGATAGAAATCAGCACTTACCACTCCTTGAGCAGCCTAATCGAAGCAGACATCTGCACTCCTCACAGGATTTCTTAGATTTTATGCATGTTTCAAATGTACAGTCCTTATTGGTTACCTGTACAGTGATAAAGTTCTCTGCACATGTAGTTAACTGAACCTGGGACATCTTTCACACTTGGAGAAGGTTTCCCAGGAGTAAGCTGGAAAAATAGTTTCCACATTCTTCTAAACTGTTGTTCACCCTCCACACTTCTGTAAACTACATACATGATTAACTTGAACTGAAAATCACAAGAACAGTGTGACGGATGTGACAATGTCTCCCATGCTCATAACGAGGTACGTCTTACAGGCCATCAGATCCCATACCAGCTGTGATCATGGGTCACAGATTAAAAATGACCACAAAAGACATTTTAAGGTTCTACTATGCGTATGCGACTAAAGCACTTCAGTTTGTCTTAAATTACAGGACATATTCATGCAATTTTTGTCCACATCTTCTTTCACAGATCCTGATCTCTCTGAGATACTACATCATCAATCAAATCTCAGAAATAAACCAGGTAATGCATTTACAAAGTAGATAGTAATCCAAACCAATAAGTGCTTAAAGAAGAATTTGGAGCACAGACTTACTGAAACTATTTTGGATGAGAGCCAGCTGGAGACCAGAAATTGCAAAATTAAAGTAAGGATTAATTGCTTAAGATTTAAAAGTGTATACTGCTATATGTAGAAACTTGCAGCTCCATACCTGATCATTATAGTTCTCAAAGGATGCTCCATTATCTCGTCAGAGGAAAGGAAATAGGAGAGGCGCAAACATTCTGTATATTTACAACCAATTTATAAATTATTAGCTGAAAGAGAAGAAGGTGCAAAAAGCATCAGTTGGCAATAAAAGTTTTACTGCTAGGGCACAAGGGACCAGATCTTCCCAGTGTCTAACACCAGAGAGAAAGAGAGCTATAAGTTGGCAAGAATTCACAGACCGTATGTCCAAAAGTCTGAGCAGCCCAATGATCAGAATCTCAGCAGCAGGATTTAATGACGTCATGTGTTCTAGTTCACAGTTTTTTGGTTATTTGAGTGGGAAGGGTGTTGTGGAAGAGAATGGTGTAGGTGTGTTGGGCTTAGGTCGGAAGCTTGCAGGAAACAGGCTTTCAGAAGGAGCTCAAAGTGTTCAATGGTATAAAAGACACAGCTGTCACTCAGTGCTACCTGTGGGGCAGTGTACCATGATGAGGGCTTGAGGGAATCCATCCTGTTAGAAAGGAGGCCCCCGTGTTCTCTGAAGCTTTATCACTCATTCTGGTAACACAGAGTAATAGTAATACGTAATAGTGCTTTATTGTGGATGGGTTTGGGCACAGGTGTTCTCAGAAAGGAATTCTACCCTGTCACCTATATTCTTTTGTATCTGCTCTGGCAGATACTTCCTATCATTCCCGTGGTGCAACATGGACACTCACAAAAAAATGCTCATTCCACTCAGATAGTCTGTAATAATTTTTTGTTTGATTATTCTATAGGCTACAGAACAGCGTTCAATTATGCTGCCAACCACACAACACCATGGCTAGAGTACCTTGAAGATCTCACTAACTTTTGTGTCCTCAATGGTGCTCACCCGAGCAGACTGTCAGAGCACTCACACACCTCACGGGGTGTTCAAAAACCCCACTATTGCTTTCCTTGGGATCCTACAGGCTGACTCACCTCCCTAAGCTTCCCAGTGCTTGATGCATCCCTGTGATAATCGGAAGGGCTGGGGCAAATGTGCAATTGCATGATAATACCTTCACTTACCTACAGATAATGAATAGTTAAGAAAGAAAAGCTAGACGCAGACAAGAAGGAGAACAACAAGAAGGAGAACATATTCATTAAAATTAAAGAGGTCGCTGTGCTATTGTATGAAGTTCCTATTACCATAGCTGTCAAGACTTCTGCCTTTTAAAATATTGAGGAAAATATGATGCTTACTTTATTGTGCTAAAGCCATAATGCAGCATGGGCCTGAATTTTGCAGTGCATCTTCCCCTCTAGTTTGTCTCCCACTTTGAGGAGATCATTTTATGAAATTACTTCTATTTCCTGTAAAAAGAGACACTCTCCCAGCCTACAAAACAAAAAGAGCTTTTAAATGCCCACATCTGTATCTGTCACTTGCATTCCTTCAATGCCTTAGTACACCCAGAGGCTGCCCTAGGAAAACACTCCAAATTAGCAGCTGAATCAGAATCAAAACTCCAGAGAACAAAACCATACAAAGCTTCAGCGCAGACTCAGGAGGAGAAATGACCACCAGAATCTTCTGCATGCATTCTGTGCAATTAATTAATACATTTAAAAATAAAAAGCAAGATGAGTCCAGCAAATTAACCAGCCCCATCCCCCTAAGTCATGAGCGAAGTATCTCCACTAAGTATAAACCAAGAGTGCTGACTGGATGGGAGTCAGGAGAGCAGGTCTCTGTTGAGGAGCATCGCTGGGAGCCACATCCATAATATCTCAGAGAGAAAGAGAACAACTGTCCCAAATGTCTGTGCTTCCTCCTTCTTCCAGCTGTAGACACGCTACGGCACAGGTCACATATTTTGATTCACTTGGGTTACAGGGGCCTGCATGATGTCATGGAGCTCTGAGTGGCTGAGGCAATGCAATGGGGCTTGACTGCAGATAGAAAGATGGGGCTGGTGTCCCAGCCTCAGCTCAGGAGTATTATGTAGGATTGCTGCCTGTCTCTGGGTGAAGGCCCTCACTGCCCCAGGAGGAGGACTGCCATGGATGATTGAGAATTGCAAGGGGAGGACTGACAAGAAGATCCAGTTCTCATAGTTCTCATGCAAGAGCTTCACCCATACCAGAGTCTGGCTAGACTGCCTGCAAGAGGCAAGGGCACCTCGGGACAGGCTCAGCCCCTGGGGGTACTGTGGAGGGTTGTTGTGGCAGCATCAGAATAAATGAGGCTTTCCTCCTTATAAACAAAACAACAAACACACAGCAAGGGAAGCAAAAGGGTTATAGTTAAGGTCAGGGAAGGGTAAACAGAGGTAGACCACTTGAAACTTGGAGTCACTGAGGCCACAGTGGGAAAAGAAGGGAGCTCCATTTGCAACAATTGAAGATGGCCAAAAGTCCAGCTGGAAGACAGACAAGTGGGAAAAGCAGCAAATGCATCTGTTACCCCAAAAGGGGTTTTCCATAATGACAAACAAGGAAGCCCAGGAGGGATTTGGAGCTGGGGCAGAGGAAAGGCAATGCCAAAAGATAATGTGTAATTCAACAGCAGAGATCACAAAGAGAAGAGCCCTTGATGCGCACAGACAAATAAACAGTCATTCAAGCTCCACAGATATTTGAACCAGGGCTGCAAATTGAGTGGAAGTGTGAGGGCCTGGAAAAAGAGCTGGGACAAGGTCAGACCAACCCTAAGGGGCAGAGGTAATTGGAGGTGAGAATGGGAGACTGAAGAAGACACAGATTTAAAGACATAGAAGAATGCACAAAGCAAGAGAGAGAAAGGCAGAACATGACAGCAAGAGGAAAAAAAATTCAACCTTTTCTAAGTTAATGTTTCATTTTGGATTAAAAATTTATTTTCTATTTTGGCAACAATTACATCATTTACAACAAACCACGCACAGCTCTGTGTGTCAATTTATGTTACTTTAACACAGGTCACTATGTTTCATTTAAATTTGAACTACTTAAGGGCATCTGATGCTGGCTGAAGCATTATCTTTACAGCTAGGTTTGCAGAGTATTTGCATTATTAAAATCTTTCATAAATCAAATAAATATTTTGATCTTCATTCAAAAGATAAGCGATCTCAACAAATTGCCTTGTGATATTTATAGTAGCTGCACAAAGCCTGTATTACTTGTATACATTCAAGGACTGAAAAAATTATGTAATTATTCATGAATTACCCATGGATATCAGTTTAAAACACTTAGCTTGTTCCCTTGCCACAAAATCTGAATATTTCTGTTTTAATGTTTTTATTCTCACAGCATCCTTGTCTGTAATAACAAGAAATACTATTAGACCTGTTGAAACCAATGGGAAGTAGATGCTAAACTGGATACTCTGAACATCACAAATATTCAATTAAAAATACAATCTCAGGTCAGCTGCTTATGCATGTACCAGAAGAGCAGCTTGTGACTCTCTAGAGGGTTTGGAATGATCACTTCCATAGGATTTTCCAAACCCAAATATTGCTGGCATAATAAAACTTGTAAATTCGAAAGTATAGAAATTCTGCATCTTACACAGTAAATCTTGGCTCTTCTATATCTTTTTATGTTTAGTTTTGTGTGCTATTTGCAATAAAATTTAATGCTGACGTTATAACAAAATTTAGTTATCTCTTTCCCTTGGGATTGTCTACATTTGTTCCATGTTTTTTCTAATTGCACTGAATTTGAAATATATTAAATACCTGTAGCTCATTTATCTTCACATTTAATTTTTTACTTGTGTTTTTGCAAGAAGTGTTGCTGTTCCACATTCATAAATTCAAAAAACCCATCAACAAACCCCATATTTTCTAACCTTTAATTTACTGTATATACACTTATGTAAATATACACATGGAAAAAAAAAAAAAAACATTCACTAGCAGTGCAAACCTACTTTAATGCATAAGAGTTATCACTGTTTTGTTTCATGGGTTTATCTAGGATTGCTACTTGGTGTAGAGGAAACACAAGCTGAGATAAGTCTCAGTACTTTCCCAAGTCCATATATTCACTCACCAGCAGGTTCTGATTCTTCTGCAGGGGAGAAAAAGTGATACAGACATCTTTCTGAAACTTAATACAGCATTTATTTTTTGTGTTGTCGTTTCCGCTCTATTGCTGAATTCAAAGCCTGAAGAATCATATGCTTGTTGTTCTGAATGTTGTAGCTGGTCAGTTTTATCAGATTGTCAAACTGCTCCTCTGTGTAGGTAAAGCTGTTTATGCAGTATGGGGAAAAAATGCCAGAAACATCCACATTGCCCTGTGCCATCTCAACAGAGCTGCGCTCCACACCTGCCAAATCAAGAAAAGTCATTGATGGGGCATAGGGATGGTCTTACATCCTCCTCTCCAGAGGAACATTGTTCCTCTCTAACTTAACACCCATAGTCCTTTCCATAGGAACCACATCAGGGGAGGAAGGGGTCCGTGCCAGCCCTTGCCTCCCATTCCGATACAAATAAAGGCTGCACAAGTGGTGGGAGGATCAATTCCATCCCATAGCTTACCTGGCTCTTTATATTTTCTGAATGTATCATTCACCAGAGGGAAAAACACCACTGTTGGTGCCTCTGGTGTCTCTGCATCTTCAAATACATAGCACTCCTTTAGATTTTTCTTCTCCTCTTCACTCAGGTGGATTTTTGGAAATGGAATTCCCTGTTTTGAGAAGTACTTTGACGCTTCTTCCAAAGGCTACATTCAGACAGGAGAAAAGGTCAGAAACTCTGCCTTCCCCTCAACTTTTCATAACACATAACACATTCACCAAAGGCACTTCACAGAGATCAGGGAACAGCAATCACTCTCAGTGTTTCTTTTGGTCTTTGTCTCTTTCATGAGGAATTATGTACTGGTTATCAACAGAACAACATTTCAAGACCAAGACATCAACTAGCACTCTTGATGATTGCCCTACCTCCTCCTCCTCAGCCTTTTATCTGCAAGATAAATAAGATGTTCATAGCTGTGTGCAGGGGTTACACAGCCACTTATGAAACATACTCCTTAGTGAAGAAACTCTCCACACAGAAGACACAAGCAGCCATGTCAAGGTCCCAGGAGCATATAGGTATATAAGATAATGCTTACCTATGATGAACTTGATTAAAAGAAAAGATTTATTAAACTGATACTACTTCTGAAGTTCTCCCTAAGGGATTTGTCATGTCAAACCAATATTAAAGCAAGATCCAGATATCTAGAAAACAGGAACTGAATGCCAAGAATCCTTTTCTCCCACATTTAGTTTTTTTCTGCATTAATTATTCTGACTTCTGGGGAGCTTAAAAAGAAGAAAAGACAGTCATAATTACACAAGTGAACAAAGTGGTTATCACACCGATGTCTGTGATCCAGAAGAATAGTTTAAGTGCAGGACAACATCCACTTTCCTCTCCGGCCTCATGAGTGGTGGGTAGCTGATATCAATGTATCCTGCTGTGTCTGCAAGGCACAGGAACTCTGCTGTTTCTGTCAGCTGGTTGGGGAAATTCTCTAGCACGGTATCTAAAAGGAAATATTTCTTATGATGAGTGATTCAATGAAGAAGTAATATATTTGTTATTTAGCTAATAAAAGAGGACAAAAAAAGCCCCTTCTCATTACTTTCATTTTCCAAGATCCTGCTGCATTACAAGTTCCATCCTGACTCAGAAAAGAAACTGTCCACAGAAAGAAGACAGAGATCCTTCACTTTTCACATTGGCCTTTTTCCATTCCTGATGAGCAGCAGTTGTCCTTCTTAGGAACCAGTGTATCTCTTGGAATATCTGTTAACATTTTAATTTCAATTAAAAAAGAGCTGTGCCACAATTAGAGTGGTTTTGCAAATTCATTTTTGAAATTTGGCTATTTATCTTGAAATTTTTGTTTCCAAAGTGAAGAATAATGCCTATTCATCTTTGACTTTCTCTTCACTATTGACAATACCAATCATCTAACCAGAAAAAAAAACGAATGAACAAGAAAGTATCTGGGGATGCTTACCTTTCCATATACAAAAGCTTTTGCTCTGAAGGTATTCATTGTGCATCTGGAACCCTTTTAGGAAGTTGAAGAACTTTGAGACCATTACTCGCTCAGTCAGGACTTCCCGAACAATGCCCATGATGCCACATTCAGGGGTGACTATGTAAGTCTCCAACTCATGGTTCCTGACTGGTGGAGAAGGCTCATCTCCTTCTGATGGGTAGAGCAGATAAGGAAGTCATTGTTTTGATAGTGATTTCATAATACTTAAAATAAAGACTTTCTACTATATGCATCCAGATGTTATATTCATTTAAAGATTAGTAAAGTAACAGATATAGTAGAAACAGAAATATAACCAACCAACATCAACAGCTGCGGGTTGAGTGCACCTCAGTGAGCACCTTTCTGAAGGATCTGATGAATGACAAGCATCCAAAAGGTTGTATGAAAAGACATTGCTCCACAGGCCTGTGGAACGATAGAGAACAGGGAAACTGCTTAGAAACATTTAAATGGAAAATATCCCTTTGATCTTTCCAGAGGCTTTTAGCACATGCAAAGTGTTTTCTCATAAAAAACGTTAGTAAGTTCTCTCACAGCAACACACAGTTTGTCCTCAAGAGGAACCTAAATGGTTTTAAACATTGTACCAGGCCTTCAGCTACCATAATTCATTGTCACACACAGCTATTACCAGTACACATTGCAAGACACCATTTTCTATCCTGCATATTCCTGTTCTATGAGAGAGTAAAACCATACCAATTCACCTAAAGCAAGGGTTTGGTCTATAAAGAATGTCATAAACAACTGCATTAATAATTAAAGATTTGGGGATTGCTCCTGAACAGCCAAGATCCAAGTGGTTACAGAACAATTTGAGATGGTCTACAGAGTATTTATGTCCCCTAAAACAAGACATCTTCAAAATCTCTTGTTTCTCCTTTCCACAAGTTACTTTGAGTGAGAGTCATCTCTGTCTCCTCATTCCCATAGTTCTTCCAATTCTGTCCTCTCACTTAAGACATTACTTCTCCTTGTAAATTACATTTCTTTTTATCCTTTAGCTGCTGTGTTTCACTATCAGTATGTTTTAATGGTACCTCAGGAGGGCACTTGCATAGTACACCACTAGGTGGCAACATAGCTCTAAACCTCCACTCAGCCCTTTCTAAAGACGCACCTATGACTTCGGGATCACCAGCCCATTTCAGGCTCTGAGGACAGGAACACAGAGCTCAGCCTAGATTGGATGTACTAGGTGTGCTTGCTACCTGGACACTTTGGGTATGACCACAGACATTGCAAAAATGCAATGAGACAAAATGTTCTCAGAAGATGCTTTGTAGTCCCATGTAACTCCATAATCCATCTCTTTTCTCTGATCGTTAGCACAAAGTACTTTGCAGAAGAATACAAAGAAATCAAAAGTGCAGTGGGGTCTCTTCTCCAGTCTCCAGCATCTCATGGGTCTGAATTTGGTACTTCCAGTAGCTGGTGGCTATAGTGTTACAGAGTCACCAGTGAAACTACCTTTCATGAATTTGTCCTCCCCTTTTTAGACCTATACATACTCTTGCCTCCTGTGATAACATGAGTCTTGTCCCCCAGCTGCCTCTTCTCTTTACTCATGACATCACTATGAGCTCAAATATAATCATTAAAGCTCTGAGAATTAGAGTCTGTGAAGCTAAACGCAGTCTTCCTCGTGCCCAGGTATTTTCTAAATATAGTAGCAATATGACTCTGGGCTTTTTGCATAACACCTTGAGGTGCACGATTTCTCTGCACTTCAGATAAAGAATACCAAAGATATTGTTTTTAATGTGGGTTTTTCAGTCATATTTCTTACTGGCGTTCTTGGTGAGCTGTTGTGTGTCATACTTATTTACATGTGAAGGACTCTTCTGCAGAAGAAGCAGAAGAGTGAACGAGAATAGAAAGTAGTGTCATAAAGAATTCTAGTGTTAGAAAAAAATGAAACAAGAAGAGTTACATAAAAATAGCAAAGCTGTCCTTCCTGCATTAGTGAGACCACTCTACTGAAACAAGGATAGCAAAACACATTGAATTGATCACACAAGAACTGTACATTTCAGCCCTGCATTTTGCAGGGCACTGATGGAATATTTAGGAATTGTGCATATTAAGCATATTTTTATGCTATCCAAAGTCTATCAAGGAAGCACATCACCTTTCATGAAGCAGATCCGAGACTCAGGAAGCTTCTTCATCAAGCGACCCATGAAGAACTTGCTGCCAAAATCTTCTGCACGAATGAAGGCGCCATATTTTAAAAACCCAACCTCATAAGGTGTGAACTCAACCCATTCTGCAGAGAAACAAAACAGACATTTTAATTCATTCCATCCACATCTCCCAGCAGGAAATACCCTGAAATGACAGGGAAGCAACTTCAGGACAAACCGTATGAGCATGGTCATCACGGACTGGCATTCATCAGGGAAATGACATCATTAAGATAGTTTCAGCCACTCTCTCAAACAATTTTCCCCAGACTTGTTCCTACGGAACTCTCCAGTGAGCCTCTCAATATAGAACATAAATGAAGTTTATACCAAAAGAAGTTCAGCCTAAATTAACCCATACATAGATCTAAGGCTGTGATTTGGGAGTACTTTAGCTGCCCTAAATACTGTCCCCACATTTCTCCTGTCCCATAGAAGCTGGATTTCCCCCAGACACTAGACATAAAGTCTGAAAATGGAAAAGATAAAGAACTGTTTATAAATGCTACGATTTGTCAATGCAAGGGGTTGCAAGATACACTGTAATTGGTAACAGAGATACAACTGAATCCAGATACAGTTTAGTTTTGCCATCACCTTTAAACTCTGGAAGGCTGTAGTCATCTTTGATGTTGAGGATCATGTAGATTGGAAGGGGATTCTGACCTTGAGTTAATGCCCGTCTCTCATCAGACAGTCTGTGATTGTTTTTCTGTGTATTGACCAGAAAAAGAGAAAGAGCAAAACCAAGGGACCTTCTTCACATTGTGCATGAGCTTGGAAAATTACAGAAAAATAATACTTATTTCCAGCTACGTTTCTTATTCTTTCTACTCATCTTGTGCCAAAACATTATTTTTTTTTTAACTGAAGAATTACCTAAGCATTTACACACCCACAAAGACTTATTTGATTACAGATAAGCTATGGGAATTTTGTGGTACAGAGGGTTTTCATTCCTCTGAGAAATGCATTCATTTTGCATGGATTATGCAAGTTCTCACAGGGATAAACAGAGCAAAAGAAACCAAAATCAGGATGCTGGAACCGGATGTTCAGATACTCATATAGGTATAGTGAGATACAGGTTTCTTGCTCTAGTGAATATCCCTCAGAATGGTAACTATATGTTGAGAGAGATGTGAGGTCAAAATCCCTTTGTTAATCAACAGAAACCATCTCTCTGATAACACTGGCAGGCTCTCAGGCTAGTGCCTGTCCCTGGAGCTTCTATTTCTGTACAGTGGTATTCAAGACTTGTTAAGGACATGCTACCCCATCACTTAATGCTCTTTCCAGCAGGAGCCCCCAGAAATCAATGCTAGAGATCTGGTATCCTTCTTGCTTCCGCAGCTTTAGCTCTTGGTCATAGTACTTCAAGCTCTCTGGAGAAAAGCAGCTGAGCTTGCTCTTGGTCATATGTCTGCGGACTTCACGGATTGGTCCAGAGATATCCTTGTGTGACCAGTCAGGACTCTGGTACAGATGTGCCAACGTCCTGCGGAAAACAAAGAAAGCACATTATCATATGCTCATAAATATTTCCACCTCCTAGACTTGGATTTAAGGACCACAAAAACAAACAAACAAACAAACAAACAAAGTAGTTGAGGTTCATTAAAAACATGAAAACATGTCTGAGGCTCAGGCGTTCTTTGATCTAGATTTTTATTTAGGTCCCAGGAAATTCTACCACATATAACTAAATTGTTTATTGTACTTTAATTAACTAAATTAAGATGCTATGCCATTCAAGTTAACTGTTAAATGTCAAGAAGATGAAAATCAAGATAAAGCTGATTTAGGAGTAGAAACTGAAAAATCCAACATCATAAAAACAGCAGAAATGGTGTACAGTGTTTTCCTAATACAAAAGTAAAAAAGCCTGAGGCTAAAAACATGCATCTTCCTTTACCACAACAAAGAGAATGAATCTCATACAGCAGTTTACAGAGCTGAAAAACGACATCGTTGTTCATCATTTCCTTACCATGTTGAGCCAGATGACCCAGTGATGTAAGAAATAGCATCTAAGAGACCCAGCTTTTGAAGACCTAGCAGGTTGCCTAACAAAGATGTCAGTGCCCGAGTGCCACCTCCTGTTGTCATGACTGCTACAACTGGAACCTTTTTAAGCATGAACACAGCATTTAGTAAGCAACAGAATCATAGTTCATATTAGCACATTATATTTCAGCTACATGAACTACACATTTCTGTCTTGGAAGAATTCTGACATTTCATCATTTCCCCAAGCAGAGGAGAAAAAGATGAAATGCTGGTACTTTGCACAGAAATTAAAAAAAAAAAAAACAAAAACAAAAAAAACCCTAAAAACTAAAAACAACAACAAAAAAAGACAATTTGCTAGTTCAGATATTTTTCATCTACAGAGAACAGTGTTCTATACTGTAATATGCTGGCTTACTGAAACAGCTCATAACTTTTTAATTTCAATATTTTCAATATTAGGTTGCGTTTCCCTTCATGGAACATCATCTCTTGAGAGCTCTATTCTGAGAACCAGAAATGCTCATCCTCTCTAGTTAAAAAATAAAGACTGGATTACATTTCCCACAAAGTATCTAGAGTATATAATTGCAGAGATGAAGCACAAAGCCCAGCTAAATAGAAACCTAAATTACATTACAGGAAGATAAATTCCTCCAACTAAAACCCACTGGGAGTGTAGTGGCTAAATGACATTTCCTATACACATTTCCAGGCAATTGTATCAAGAAAATACTTAGCTGTGCTTCTTTCACCTGATGCAAACCAAGCATTTCAGGTTAAAGCAAAGCATTCTGATTTTGATATAATGAAGGAAACAAGCCATTTTCTTGTTGTTTGTCTGCTTGTTTTTGTTTTTCCCACTGAAAATAACGTGCTAATGAGAAATAATACACTGGTGTGATCAGTGAGCAGGGACATCCTTTACAGCTCATTATATGACCATTTTGTCATATAATATTTAACACACCTTTGGCCCAGATGTCCTGGGCAAAGTGAAAACCACTTTGTGTAAAAAAGTAAAAAAGTAAAAAAGCTCCCAAAATGAAAACTTCAATTCTGTAGTGTCTGATCTCAGACCACATTCCCTCCCTAAAATGTAAAACATTTCCATGACAGCATGCACATGAACAAGTTCAAACTCTAACTCTTGGATTTGATACTACCCATGCTCTCACACTGTTTCATCTAAACATTTCTTGATGCTTTACATGGGGCACTTCACATGGGGGATGTAAATTCCACATCAGTGCTAGTTAAGGAACAACCAATAACCGGCTGTGGATTTGACTCATTCCTGTCACACCAACAAGGTCCAGGCCCAATGTTGCACCCCATACCTCATGGTCTTGTAGGTCCTGTTCTAAGTTAAGTGCTTTTTTCAGGGCAGAAGCCACCAACTTCCTCCGTTTCTGTAGGAAAATTTTCTCCTCCATGCATAGATCAAACTCCAAGCGAACATCAAGGTTTCTTGACCTCAAAAAGACAGAGTCCATGGTTAAAAGGAAAGTAAGAAGCTCGAGTATGTGATCACTTACAAATAAGGTCTGGACCTATGCTTACAAGTTGTAAATTCCATAATCAGGATTTTAAAAGCTGCTACTGTGATCCTACAAAGGCATCAGAGAAGATAAGTGAAAAGGTTGTAAAGCCTTAGAGGAAAGAATATTTTTTTCTACACTGATTTTCTAGAAGCTGTTTCGAATCCTTTGCAACCAAGGAAAATGAGGCACAAATACGTTTTTCTAAACTTGTAGTTCAGTAAATTTTTTTCAGCCAGAAAAGATCTTCATCACAAAACCACAAAACGTAAAGACAGAATTTCTTACCAGTCCATTGACTTTACATGTAAATTGATTGTTTCATTCTGGAAAGCAACACAAAACAAAGAAAACCACAACACATCATAAGTATTGGAGATGCTCTTATGTCCCTTACTTACAGTTATATTTGAAGCCCTTCACTTTTTATAAGAGCAGTGTTGGACACACAAGGCTGTAACAGTAAGAAAACCATACAATTTCTAGAACTTCCCCAAGTCCACTAACATTATTTATACTGAAGCTTCAGCCATTTTAGATATATACATCAGTGTATACAGCAAAGACCAGCACCAGCTCTGTCACTGTGCCTTGCCTTGCTTCATTGTTTGCATACACTCTAGCTTGCATTAGTCCAACTGATCACAGAAACCCTTCTCTCAAACTTTTGGCTGCGATTTTTGTTTGTGCTCAGCTCAGATGAAAATGTGCAGGTCAGTAACTGTATAGGAATATAAATTTATCACACCTGTTCACCATCTTAAGAACAAAATAAATCTCTTCCAGACACACTGTATTTTTATTGGATAGTAATTTCAAGCAAGGTGTAAAACCCTTCCTTGCTCAGAAGCTGCTGAGTTTGCAGCTCTGTAATACAGGGTCTTCATGCCAACACTAGCATCATGAATTCCCATCCCATAAAAAAGCCTACTTAAAACTTCAGAGAGTAGCAAACTTCAACACAAAGATAGGATAAAAAACCCAGACATAAAGATTGTATTGCCAGAATCACAGACATATCTATAAACAAGCCACAAAATATGAGAATTGTCTGTTACGTTATGTGAGAGCTTATACTGACCTGTGTTATTTAATAAAGTCTTTTGCATAAAACAACTGCAATAAACTGAGATCCTTAAGGGCACACTACCCCTTTCCTCCCTCCTCCCCTTCCCACACCCTTGCATTGACTTTTATTATTTTGCATAGTTTTCTAATGCTCAGTGGACTGCAGAAAATAAGGATTAGCAGTTAGATATCTAAACTTCTACCTCATGGTAATCTGGTTAACTCACACTTGTCGATCCTGGGACCACAGCTTCAGTTTTATTCTATAGAGTTATTGTCAATCACCTTTGCCACTGCTACTTTCTCCTTGAAGGGAAGTGAATCCAGAGGAACAGTGAGGGATGCAACGCAGTTTTTCTTCTCTTCACCTGAGGTATACTGAAAAATAGATTTAAAAGTAGAAAAATATTTAATGTATACACCATAAAAAGTACTGTCACCAATTTTTTTTAAAAATAGGATTGACTCCCAGAAGTTTCCAAGTTGTTATCTAGGTGTCTCAGTGCTCTTCCAGAGCAGATGATCACGGAAGTTGACTTCCAATTAAAATAATAATAATAATGATATTTTTTTCCATATGTCCCAGTGAAATATGGAAAACTATGAATTTGCTGTGCTTACTCAAGTAGAAGATCACGTACCAAGCAGAAGTGTGGCTTCTTTTCTGCCACAGCCATGTGCAGCTCTGCCACACCATGTTTGAGATAATGGAAGATGAGAGGCCTTGGAGGCTGCAGGGAAGAGCCCAGTGACAGGGTTTGGTTCTGTTCATAGGATCCATTCACTGTGAACAGGAAGTCTTTTTCTAAAACAAACAAACAGGCATATTCCAAACAGGAAATATTACGGGGGGGGGGGGAGGAAGAAAAAAAAAAAAAAGCTGTTTAAGAAACTCAGACATATGGGAAAATTGGGCTAAACTGAAATAATTGAGATAGAAAAATATATTTACTTCTACTTCACAGTATTAATAAAGGTCATGCTTTAATTTCAAACTCCAGTTTTGCTATTTGGCAGACACTAATTGTTGGATCTGCACAACTCCTATTTGTAACCATCTAATATCTGTGCTCTATTGGTAAGAAAAAAGGAGGGAAATTATTGGATAAAAAAGTGACAAAATAGAAGAAGTTCTTAATTATCTAAGTTGTTTTTACTTCACAGGGTTTAAGATCTAGTCACCACATTTCCTTTCTTGTAGCACATTTTTTTCTGTGTTAAAAGCTTAAAGTCTAACCTGAAGCTTCTTTCTTCTGTCTATTTTCCACAAGGACTTCCAAGCAGCAAGCTTCACGAGACTGTCACAGGGATGAATAATGAGAGAATTAAATATCCAAACTATGCTACATATGAGTCATTTTGCTATTTAACTCTGGCCATCTGGGTTCCTGGGGTCTGGACACCTGTCCACTGTGTGTTTGGCAGATATGAGCACTCTTATGATGTGCCAGCTGAAAGAAAAATGGCTGTAGCAGTGTGTCTGTCCATGGGATAGGAAAGAAGGAGTGGGAGTATGCCAAGGCCTCCTGAAAATGGACTGATGAGCAGCCAAATCACAGAGCTGTCCTTGCAGTCCTACCTGTATGAAGCTGTACAGTCAAGTGCTACCTCCCTCCAAGCAGTGAGTTAGGGGCAGACAAGAAGGCCAATTCCACTTCATCCAGGATAGGGATGGCTCTGGGAGTCCCAGGAGCAGTTCTCAGGGGGAATGACACAAAGGCGGCAAGCAAATGAAGGAGCACTTTAGGCTCTGCCAAGAAGCTTGCCATCAGCTGGTGATGGAGGACTGGCCTGTAGGTATCCTCAGTGACTATGTTTGCTCTTTCTTAATACATCCTCACCCCAAGAGCCATGCAAGCAGATGGCTGCCAGTTTCTGATGCTCCTCCTCCCACCATCCCGCATCTCCCTTTCCTTCAGCTCTGACTGCAATTACTTTTTGGGGCCCTTCCCATATTTATCATTCCCAACACCAGAAAGATAATGAACACAGATAAATAGTTTGAAATTACCACCAAGACACCATTACTGATAAGCTTTTCAGGAGGAACTGGACTGAAAGAACAAAAAACAAAATCAGAATATGATCTAAATACCTCTTTAAATGAACTGTGGGAATAACACTTTCCTTAAAGGCTGTCTTATCTAACACAGTCTGTAACAAATCCCTGATTTTTAATTTTGTTGTTGCTTTCAAAAGACATCTAAAATTTGACTTCTTCATTTTTTTATGATAATCATAGAATCACAGAATGGCTTGGGTTGGAAGGACCTTAAAGGTCATCTAGTTCTAGCCCCCTACTGTGGGTAGAGTTGCCAATGACTAAATCAGGCTCTACATCAGGTTGTCCCTGTCCAGCCTGGCCTTGAACACCTCTAGGGACAGGGCATCCACAGCTTCTGTAGGCAACATGTAATAGTAACGAATACTAAGAAATATTGAATACAGTCACTGCATTCTTATCATCTTTATCCCACTTCCAGGAAGTACTGGGATAGAGTAGTATCCAGGATGACTTTTGGTAGATAAGGAAGAGAATGTTTTTGCCAGTATGCAGATAATTTGATAAACATCAGCTGTGACTGTGATGCTGCTTTGAACTATGTTGTACTAAACTCTAGCATCTGTTTTACATTTTGTTGGTTCCATTTAGGCTTTACTCACATGCTCTCTGATGCAAACTCAACTTCCAGCATCTCCTGTGTCTGTAAAAGATTAACTTACTCTAAGTATTTGAATTAATTTTGTCACCAACTATTCTTGTTAATGAGTATTCTGGCTCCTTAAATGGCTCTTAAAACCCAAATTCACTCTTGTTTTAGGGCATGCTCAAATGAATAAAAGCAGTTGAGTAAGGGTGATTTTGGAAAGTATTCTCCATCTTTTATTAAATCAGTCTTTAGGCTGTGCTTGTCCATTCAAAGATAAGGCAGAGTAAAATGGCTACTTAGGGAATCCTCAGTTACAATAGTTGGCTATCTATCATCTTTACCATCTCAGCATGGATATTTGTGTTATATTTAAAAATGCAAGCTATCAGCCTTTAACTGAGCACTTCAGTAACTGTGTCAGCACATGCCAAACTCTCAAGTGCTTGTCTCAGGAAAAGAAATTCTGACAGAAACTTTGCTCAATAGCAATGGAGTCTTCTATCCTCAACAAAATCTACTTAAGAAACAGATTCTAGACACATGAAAAAAAAGAAAAAAAAAAAAAGAAAAAAAAAAAAGGAACTCTGCTGCCAGAAGGATTGAGTAGCTAGCAAAAAAGTTCAAAGTAAGGAGCACTTTTTACTGTACTGAACAAGGTTTGGACATACAGGATAAAAGAAGGACAAATGAATATGATAGAAACTCTCCTGTCTACAATTGCTTTACAATAAGTCATGTAGGGAGGTAATAGCAAAAAATACGTTTCCTTCCTGTAGGCAAGACTGTTTTATTCCTCACCTCTGGATTTAGCTGAAAAGTCAAGCGAACAGTTTCTCCAAGCAGTATTTTAGCAACATCAAAGAGGACAGTGAAGAGGAGGTCATCTTTAGTGATTGTATTTTCATCATAGACTTTCATCTCAAGAATATTCTGTGAATAGAGATGGAGGGTTAAGACCATTTCTGTTTGGAGCCTTTGGGCTACTATGAGGTTGGAGAGAAGAGGAGGGGAGGGGAGGGGAGGGGAGGGGAGGGGAGGGAAAGAAAAAGGAAAAAGGAAAAAGGAAAAGAAAAGGGAAAAGGGAAAAGGGAAAAGGATCAGACATTATGTGAATAGTTGTGAAATCTCAACTATTTTCTACACATCACAAAATAAAATTGAATTTTGCTGCTGCATGCTGTTGTTACATTCACTTACCCATATCCCTCAAATCTCTTGCAAATATTTTTTATGGCACCCTTCAAACAGATCACACAATAAGATCTTTGCCCCCAATAGAAAAAACAAATCCACTTTGCATCTTACTTTTACTTGGCTTTGGATCCTGAAGCAAAATATTTCATTCCACACTGGATCTTTGCAGTTCTTGATGGTTCTGGTCCGGACAGTATCAGAGGAAGCAGTGGGCAAGGACAGGCTTACATAGCAATCAGCTTGACTAACTGTATATAAAAAGATACATTTTAACTAACAAACTACAAAAAAAAAAAAAAAAAAAAAAAGATCTTAGAGCATAAGCTTATAGCACTCTATAGACAGTAAACTGCAAAAAGGAGATATTGTTTTAATACTTTTCTTGCAGGTTTTTACTCAACAGCACTAACTACTTTTTATCCTGTCTAGCAGGCTGAAACTGAAGCTACTGAAGTAAAGGGAACTGGTGGGGGGGAGGAAGAATGATTTTACATATCAAAACGTATTATTGATACATCCTCAGTCTGTGAGAAATCAAGAGATCTGTTGTGGTGAAGATTTGCATTTTGAGAACCTTTTTTAAAGGTACTTAACTAGTTAACTCTTCAAGCACTTTAGATAAGGAGCAGTCTTCACCCACTGTGAAGAAACTTCTAATTTATTAGTGTAGCATTACCTTAAACATAGTTTGGACACAAGGTTGTCAAATTAGATAAAATACAGCATTAAAACTTCATAATACATGCAGGTTGCACTGAGGTGGGCTCCCAGGAACTGTCTCCTCCCCAGATGGAGGTAAATAACCTTGCAGCAGGGGAGCACAGCGTTGCATTGCATTGACCAACTGAGTCTTGGGGATTGCTGCAGCTTTCAGTTGAGAGGCAAGCTGGAAACTTGTAGGTCTGTGCAGCCAACTTTCCATCTGTGTGTTAATCTGATGTATTTAAATTGTTTCTTTGTTAGGATTCTCACTGATACTTCTAAGATGATTTTTTTGTTGTTGTTGTTTTGTTTGTTTTGTTATCGTTTTCCAAGGAGTAGTGTTGTGCATCTCTTACTAAGTGCGGGAAAGAGCTGTTTATCTCATGGTATCTCATGAACCTTAATGAGATCCTGAAAATATAGTGAAAAATATGGCAAGAATCACTCTCTCTGCACTGTTTTTCACCCTTTCTAGTCTTCCAATTTGGAGAAAATCTGCTATTCTGTAGTTTTATACATTGCTCTGCATTCACTTCTACACAACACTTTATTTTTCGTCTGCTGAACAACCACAGTTGTTTCTGATGTCTCCAGCCCTTAGAACAAATTTGTGATTACAGTAACAGTTTAGATGTGATGTACTAAGAGGCAATTTGGGACTGTAGGATACATGCAGGGAAGCAGCATGATGACCAAGTGGGTAAGCTGCTGGAAAAGGGCTCATGATGTTTTGGCTCCAGTCCCAGCTCTGCTCCAGGCTGCTAGGTAATTGTGGGCAATTGCCTACATTTAAATATATCTTTTCTATCTGTGTCACATCAATAAAACAGTGATAATGATCATTTCCTCACTTGTAACCTGTTTTGATATTCCACAATTAAAGGCAACATACAAAACAAAAAATAACTACCACTAATAGTATTACCAACCCACAAAAAAAGAGTATCTTATCAGCAATTGTTTTACCTTCTCAATCAGTCCCTTATTTCTCACTCCACACATTCTTCATAATTGTGTTATTTATGTGGCAATTAATAGGTATTGCTTAAAGCAGTTTATGGAATCATGTTATGTAGGATTTCTTTCAAGTCTTCTGATAAAATCTGAATATTAAACATCTTTCCCCTTGCTGTCCATAGCAGGAAAGGATGACCTGAACATTCCAAGTGGAGACCTTTGTACTGGTAATTAGTATTACGAAAATTTAGATCTATTACTATAAATTTCGATACAGAATATGCATGATGTACCTTTATATAACAATTTATTGATTAAGAAGGTCACAAAAGAGTTTATTTACCTCCGTCTACTATTTTCAATAATTCTTCCATTGAGTTTTGGTAAGTGAAAATGAGAATACTGATTTTGCATAGGTACATCCTCTGGCAGTGTCAAATACATAGGTATGTGCATTTCTGAGAATTCATTCACTTATGGTCTGGCTAAGAATCCTCCGAGAAGATGGACATTTGATATTTTCAGAGTATCAAAGAGGCCACTTCTAAACTCGTGACTTGAACCTAGGTAGAGCTGTGGTAGGCACTTTCTTCCTTCATTCTCTTTGAATACAGCTGAACTATAGCAAACTTGAGAAGTTAATCCAGGCTTTAGCAAGACTGTATTATTAATAAGAGAAAAACACTCCCACAGCTTGATCATCCATACTAATACCAGCCCAGTCAGTAATCACCGAGTCTCAACATAGCCCAAGACAAAAATGCAGATAAAGGCATTTGAATCTGAAACAGACAGATCATTGCATGAAGAAAAACAAATTATGCCACAAAACTACATTGTTGCAAGATTTATCTGATAACTTACACACACACAGCACAGATTTACAGAGTTTTTGGACCAGATCGCAAATACACAATGCTAGCTTTAAGTACAGGAGACTAAGATCTCTTAGCATACGTTCCTACTCATGCACAGGAACAAATGGATGCTCAGTGTCTTCCATGCTCCAGCTCTTTCCCACTTTCTTCCACCTTCTACCAAAAAAGACTTTAAATGTCACCAGCTATTGAATTTAAATATGTCCAGATTGAAAAGGATTGGTTTAATCAGCCCAGCATAGCACGAGAAAGAACTGAAAGATCTGAGTTTGCTAACTCAACAGCAAAGACCAGCAAAGAATATGGTAACATCCAGAGCTGGAATGTCCAAATGATTATTATAAAGAGGACAATGATTAGAGTCTCAGTATGGTAGGACAGAAATAAAGACAAATGTTAGGAAAACTACTCCAGCTCTAAAACAGTTAGCTCTAGTGAGAGAGGTTTTTATAATTTAACTCATTTCAGAGGGTACCCCTTCCTAGATATGTACCAGTGACAGATAAAGTAAATTTGATCTTGCTTCAGGAGAAGAGGACCCTTCCAGGTGAGGCTACAAACATATCAAATGGAATCTGGACTTGCTGCCATGTGATACCTGTGTTTACGCTGGAAGGCAATAAACAGAATAATCATGGCACATCAATCATCTTAGAAACTAACTGGTCTCTCTCCCAGCCCTGACCTGTCACAGGAGGAAGCAACAGAGAAATCCTTGTACTGTACACCAGCCCAAGTCACACATTCTAATATAGTATATGGGTGGTGACAGGCTTCATTATCTCCAAAGTGATTGCAAACCTCCTTCTTTAACATGCACAGAGTAAGACTGTAAGTTCCTTGGGAAAGTGTCTGCTTTTTTCTTACACACAGCATCTACATACCATGAGCTAGATCCATAGCTAGAATATCTGTGTATGAGCTCAACACAATTGTCAAAAGGAAACAATACAAATGTAAAACCATACAGTGCAGAGATTCCCACAAACAGCTGTGCTGAAACTTATTTATTCCACTCCAGCTCCTCTGGAACAACAGAGATAAATCACATTACCTAAATGGTAAATACAGTTGGTTGACATGAGGTGTTTTCCCTTGTCTGGGTTTGGTGCAAACCAGAAGCGGAAAACATTTGCAAATATGATGAGCAATGTTAAAAATATCCCACAGTCACACTTAAAGGAAGTAGCACTGAAAATCCACAGTTGACTGTAGATTCAATACATGCAAGTAAAAATAAAAAGATATAGATTTCTTTTTTTTTAAGATGGGGATGGAAGATTTGCGCCTGAAGAAACATCATAATATCGTATCATCATAATAAAATAAAAAAGTAGGGTGCAATAAGTAAACTCACTCCCTCACATGATGGCTCACAGCAGCTAGTATGAAGGTAGAGACGTTAATGCTGATGAGTTAATTTGGTGAGAAAAACTCTATAACACACTGGGACAACTCACTGGAAGCAAGGGTGTGTTTTACACAACAATATAAATGGGTATTGTGTACCTGAAAATTTCAGCTTGTAAGTCTCAGTCACCATTTTATGAACTGAATTTTGGATCTACAGGGTATAAACACAGAGATTACAGTTTAATTTGTTAATTCAGTCTGGACTAAAAGTTTACATCACAGCATTGGTTCATCTTGCCATAAATACTACAAGTTACATGTGTTGCAAACACATGCTTTGCTTCTGTCAGTCATCTTCACATTTTATATGTCTCTTCTACAAAAAATGTCACTGTCAGCTTCTTTCACATCAAAGTGAACTGCATATAGACACACAGCTTCCAGGCTGTCTTTTATTGCAAGACTACAACTAAACCTATGTTCACAATGAAATCAAATGAGCTCACACTTCTGACTGAAATCCTCTGGGACTCTCAACTAATCCAGGAGCCTACAGCAATTTTCCTGTGAAAAAGAATGAATGAAAACATTAAGAATAAATATAATATGATTAAAAAAAAAAATAAAATTGCACTTGAGACTCCTCTAGTTTTCATTCTTGATCCAGAAGGAAATTCTTGAAAGATAGTAAACATTGGTACTGGATGAATAGGCCCAGATGAATACTTTGCTAGGTAGACTTTCCAAACAATTGCCAGTTTAGCAATTGTTAAGATAGTAGAAAATGATAAAGTACCAGCACTAAAATTTGAGATTGATGCTTTCTTTCAACCTTCATTGGCTACTACTGCAGTGCTACCTATAGTCTCTGCAAAGAATACAACAAGATAAAATACCCAAGAGAGAAGCCACAGCCTCATAACACACACATATCTTTTCATCAATGCAGACTATCATAGCAATGTTAAATCTAGCCTCTCTTCTTTACATTGGTCTCATACAGAACAGTAAATCACATCCAGGATAGTGGTTCTTATCTACAAACTAATCAATGACTACAACTCAGCAAAAACGTGTCCTGAAGCTTCTCTCTGAAGACCATCACTGAGAAAGGTCCTCAAGCTCTGTGTACCTTGCCTGTGGGCAAGGCTTTCCCTGGCACTGCTCTGAGTCGTGAGAATCAACTTGGACAGGGACTAACACATACCACAAGCCTTATCATGTTGCTCCTTCAGCATAAGGCTCACCTCAGCACCACACTTCATCTCATCTAAATAACTTTGAAGGAGTACGCATGCACAAAACCAAATGTTCTCCACTCAGTGAGTGCAGGAAGGAAGGAATCGTTGATAACAATA